TATCAGCGTGACTGCGGTGGCTCGTTTGAGTGGGATTAATTCCACCCATTTGGAGAACTGGTCCGCAAATACTAGGAGCATCGTGTGCCCCGCCTTTGTATGCGGTAGTGGCCCCACGAAGTCGGCACAGACTGCCGACCACGGCTCTATCGGCAGGGCCGTCAACATTTCTCCAGCCGGCTTCTGTTGGACTGGTTTGTATTGTTGGCAACTCCGGCAATTCCGCATATACCGGGCGATGTCTAGGTGCATCCCCGGCCAGTAATATCGACTACATACTCGTCGTGTCGTTTTGCGTATACCGAGGTGCCCCGCTGTGGGTTCGTCGTTGTTCTCCCGCAAAATTCCGGTTCTCGCGAGTTTTGGTACGCATAATTTCCATGCTGCTTCTCCCTCGTCCATGCTGCTCCGCGGAAAAGGGCGATATAGTCGTCCGTCGGTAATGATGTAATCCGGGAACTTCTGGAGTTCTGCCTGGATCTCGTGTAGTTTCTTGGCTACCCGCTGGCATGCTACGGGTGCCTCGGCCTGTGCCACCGCGCGGTTGAGTTCCTCGGGTGGTTGTCGTAAAGCGCGTCAGCTACGACGTTTCTCGTCCCGCGCCGGTAATGGATCCCAAAGTCGTACTGTTGCAGTTCTAGGGCCCACCTGGGTAATCGGCTTGTCGAGTTGTCCATGAAATTCAGCCACTTCAGGGATAAGTTATCTCTTAAGACATGGAAATGGTACCCCTCCAGGTACGGCCTCATCTTCCGGACGCCGAAGATTATCGCCAGGCACTCCTTCTCTGCGGCCGTGTAGTTTCTCTCGGCACTATTCAAGTGTCGGCTGGCATATGCGATCACTCGTTCTTCCCCGTCGGTTTGTTGTGTCAGAACGGCTTCTAGCCCGGTGTTGCTGGCGTCCGCCTGAAAGATGAACGGCTTCGTGAAATTCGGACAGACCAGCACGGGGCTCTGGGTCAGCTTGGCCTTCAGAATTTCGAACGTCGTTTGCTGTTCTTCTGTCCAGCGCCAGTGTCTCCCCTTCTTCAGGAGTTCCGTGAGCGGCTTCGAAAGGGCTGCGAATTCCGGTACGAATCGGCGGTACCACGAAGCCATGCCAAAAAATCTTTTGATGCCGCGGGTGCCCGTGGGTAACGGTATCTCACTGATGGCGGCAGTTTTCTTGGGGTCTGTTTGAACACCCTGTTCAGTAATCATGTCGCCCACGTATTTCAGCTTCCACTTAATAAACTCGCATTTCTCCACTGTAGTGACACCACTCAAAATTAAAGGTTCTTTATATATATGTTTATTTAAAATTCTTTATTGTTAATGTTTTAAATATTCTTACTTAAAATCTGAGTTACTTCTCTCTTGCTTATATTCTGACCTGACTGAGGTATGGTCAGTTGTCTTATATAACTAATAACTTAATGCTAACTTAAGCGAATAATATAATTAAAGTAGGTTATCGCTAGAATGGTAACTTAAACAAATAATATAATTAAAGTAGGTTATTACTAGAATTGCGCTTAAGTGGGTTACAACTAAATTAGGCTATCTTAACTAAGTTAGGTGTCACATTATGTAAACTTAGCGTAAATTGTAAATCACGGTACAGTGCGACAGATCGATAACGCTACACCACGTTGATTCGTAGGTTGGCGGCTCTAAGGCGGCGGAACACTTCTCGGAGATTTGCCAAGTGCTCTTCCAGCGCCTTTCCGATGTTGATGATATCATCCAGATACGCGAATGCGTGTGGCTCCATATCCGGGTCAATCACGCAGTCTAGGGCTCGCTGAAAAGTCGCGGGTGCCGAGTGTAGGCCAAACGGCATGACCTTCCACTGGAAAAGTCCGCGTCCGGGTGCCGTAAATGCCGTATACGGTCGACTCGTCGCCTCGAGCGGAATTTGCCAATAGCCGTCTTTAAGATCTAGGCTGCTGATACATCGGTATTCGCGTAATCGGTCGAGGATGGCTTGAATTTTCGGTAACGGGTATGCGTCGGGTGCCGATTTGCTATTGAGGTGACGAAAGTCCATGCACATACGCCAGGTACCGTTCTTCTTACGTGCTAGGGTGATCGGTGAGGTGGCCCTAGAGCGCGTCTGGTTCGGCATTGTCTTAGAGGCAAGCTTTCCTGTGGGTGCTCGCCTCGGAGTTTCGTTTGGATGGCATGTAGCCGGTTTGTTCGCGCATTGCAGCTTAGTCCCAAACGCCCTGAGGAAATTATATCCTAGCAGTAGCGGGTCTACTGCCCCAGACATGACGACAAGATGGAGATGGGTGGTGCGGTCTCCGAACTGGACCGGACATGTGAACGCGCTGCTGGTCTCCCCTACACCCCCGTTGGGCCTTCCTTCGGTGCGGACCTCTCTTACAGGTTTTCGCGATCTCGTGCGCCAGGGTTTCTGCCGGCGACGATGACGGTCGCGCTGATCCGGCTCTCTTCGAAGCGCAGGTCCATGCCATCGGAAATAGTGCATATCTCTCGTTGGCCTGGCCCTAGCTGTGAATGAGGGCTGGCTACGGGCGTTACCCTTTGCACACTTGCAGCTCGTTTGCCCGTCGGATATGCGCGACTGGGCGCATGACTTGCTATGGACTCCGCCCTCGTCAGATGTGGATCGTAGTTCAGGGCTTGGTGTCGCTGGTTACACTGGGGACGGCTGCTCGTAGGCTCAAGGGGTATGGGGAGGCCCTCACGCTGCGTAGCGGGGTATTGGGGTTTTCCTTGTCGGGAAGTTGGTTGCCGCTGTTGACCTTACTCGGGGGAGAAAATAGTTGCGTCGGTAGGTTGTAGATATCGTAGTAGTGGTTTGATGTAGGGAGATCTCGTTGTGCCAATTGGATAGGATTCGGCCTTCGTGTAGCGGTGTGCCCCACTGATGGCCTTCTGTGTGATGGGCATGGAGCGTTTGCTAAGTTGACCGATATTACTGGCCGGTTCCGGAGTCCGCATCCCTTCGCTGGTGGTGGGCTCTTCCGTAATTTCCCCGTCGACAGCAATCGATAGTCCGTACGCCAATTAAGCTGGTGGTGTCCGCCCGGGGCACATCGTCGGCATGCCGCGGTCGCAATTATTCGCTTCTTTTGGGGCATTGAGTCCGGTAGCCACGCCCTTTTGTTCGGCAGATCGCGCCATCGAGCGACTGGCTGATATTCTTGGCGTGTCTCACGCGGGGCTTAACGCGGCATGTTGCCTTTTGGAATCGCCTCAAAATCGCTGGCGATTTCCATGAGTTCGTCTAGGTTGGTGAAATCTTGACGCCGTATTTACCACATGTAGTCGGGTTGCGCATTCGTGTAAATGCGCTCCAGTTGTTGCTCCACCGTCATTGTGGTATAGCGAATTAGGTCTTGCAAGGCCAGCACGTAATCCTGGAATTCCTCTTTCGGTCGCTGTGTACGCCGGCAAATGTCATCTTCAAGTTAAGTGAAGTATCGCGGTGGCAGGAAGAACTTTAGAAAATCGGCCTTAAACTTCTCCCAAGCTATGCAGTGTTGAATGTTGTTGAGATACCAAGTTAAGGCTCGATCGCGTAGCATTACCACCATGGTGGGTGGCAAACGGTCTTTATCGACGCCGTATGCTTCTGCAAGCTCCTCGACCCGCTCGATGAAGGCCAGCGGCTCTCTGTGGCCGGTAAAGTTGAGGCCCCATCTGCTAACTACTTCGATGACGGGTCCCGTGTCGACCGCTGTCGGAAAAACTCGGTGTGCTCCGTCAATCGGGGCGGCGAGCTAAATGATCTCGTTGGTGTTGTTGGCTTGTGCCGAGAAATTGTGGTAGAATCCCGGTACCATTTTGCTATTCGTTGAGATGCTGGAAAGGGCGATCGCGATAGTCGGAATAGTGTTGGGCTAAGCTGGAATTCATGATGGCATCTAGACTCATACCCTGTTTTAATGGTGGGGGTAGCTGTTGCTGGTGTTTGTTGTTAGGAAAGTTGTTTTTTGGTTATTGCTGCTGTTGTTGTAATTGTATTCCTGCTGTTGCTGTAATTGTTGCTGTAGTTGCGCTGGTTGTTCCTGGTGTTTGGCGAGATTGTGGTTGTTGTTGTTGTATATTCTGCTATTCTGATGCGTGATGAAGTTCTTGGCGTTAATGCTGCGGTTGGAGTGGGAATGCGTTGACAATGGTGGTGTTACTATTGCTATTGTCGCTGCTGGTGGGGTTGATAATGCGTTGAAGGTTGTTTGACAGTTGTCGGGTGGCTTGAGTACACCGGACCTGCCTACAATTATACTTGCCGTTGCTGTTGCTGCTGTTGTTGGTGGACCGAATGAGGATGGAACTGATGAGAGTGCTGCTGCTGTTGACTTAGGCACCTGAAATGAGAGAACCATTAATCTTTGTTCACTTATTATTTCTTATTGTTGTTGCTGCTATTGTGCAGTTCGTTAACAATCTGGTTTTGTCCTCTGTTTTCCGTATATAAATTTCATGGGTAGTTTTCTCCTCTTTTTTTTTTGTATTAAATTTTATACGAATGCTTTTGTTTCAATTGTGTGTTCGCAAATTGTTGCAATTGTACTTGCCGTTGCTTTTGCGGCCGTTGTTGGTGAACAGAATGATGGTGGAGCTGATGAGGATGTCGTTACTGTTGACCTAGGCACCTGAAATGAGAGAACCATTAATCTTTGTTCACTTATTATTTGTTATTGTTGTTGCTGCTATTGTGCAGTTCGTTAACAATCTGGTTTTGTCCTCTGTTTTCCGTATATAAATTTCGTGGGTAGTTTTCTCCTCTTTCCTTTTGGATTTTTATACAGATGCTTCTGTTCCATATGTGTATTCGCAAACTGTTTCCACGCACGTACACGCATACACGCACACAAACCCTATCGATCATTTAGTTCCTGGTGAGATTATGGTTCGAGTTTTTTTTTAATGCCTTTACAAACACATTAGTTTTCTTCTTTAATCGATTTCAGTTCTTTTCAATTTGATATAGGCAATATTTGCCAAAAGTTATGACGGTTTAAATTTATTTTCATTAGTTTTCGAAATGTTATGTTAGCCTTTATTCAAGACATGTTGTGCTTTTGAGCGTATTCTCTATTTTTTTTCTCGGTTTTATGCAAATGCTTCCTTTCTATATATATGCAAACTCGCATATTGTTTGCACCCGCACACAAGCATTCACGCGCGATTGCTAATGATCAATTGATGCTTACGTCACACTGTTGTTCGTACTTATCTTTCAATGCATTTGCAAACACCTCAATTTCTACTTTAATCAGTTCCAATTCTTTCGTTTTAATTTTTATGTCTGCGTTGTTTGCCAAGTGTTATGGCTGTTTAGGCTTATTATTATTTTTCACGGGTTTTGTAAAATTGTGTAATTTATTTGAGATATTATTCCTTTTGAACTTTTTAACTTTTCTTTTCCCTTTTTCTTGTGTTAGAATTGGCTGCTACGTTTTGAAAACGATTTTCTTTCATTTGCCTGCCTTAGAGGTCTGGATTCTCTTCGGGTATCCAGAGGTAATCCGACTTAAGCACAGTGCACTTCATCCCTTATTTAGTTGGGTCGTTGGATGATTTGTTGTTTGTGTTTTTCTTTTCTTTGACGATATAGCTTTACATATTTAAATTTTTTCTCACTTTTTTTTGTTCTTTATGACTGGTCCAGTGTATGCGTTGTCGCTTTCTTTATTATTTTGCTTTGTTTTTTTTTTTTTTTGGTTCCATTTTGCTAACAATTTAGTTTTGTATTGTACCTTTTGATAGTTTTATTAAATTCTCCCGAAAATGCTTTTGGAGCATATGCTAATTAGCAAAATTGTCTGCGCGCACACACAAGCATACACAAGCGATTGCTAACGATCATTTAATCCTTACACACACTTTTCACTCGTACTTCTCTTTTTGCATTTGCAAACACATCGATTTTCCACTTTAACCCATTCCAGTTCTTTTCAATTTTTTTTTTGTAAGCTTTATTTGCCAAATATTGGCTGTTTAAGTTTATGTCTTTTTCCTTTTTTGTTATTTTCGCACTATTATGTTCAACTTATTGAAGGTATTTTGTAGGTGATTTACCTTTTCCCTTTTTTTCAGCGCACTGATTTCAAGTATATATATTTTCTCGTATAATTTGAGTGTTTTTTTTTTCTGTTTTTATTTCTTTTCCTCTCTTGCGCTTTTCTTGCGACTTCTTGCGTTCGACCCACACACTTTGGCTACCGTTTTCCTACTCACTCTCCTATATTCTCGGTCCTTTTGCCAACCACGGTCAATTCGCCTTTCTTTGGTTCCTTTTCGTTGTATAGCGGATTTTAGGCGAAGACCTTTCGGTACTTTATTTAGCACAGGCTCTTATGTAATCGCAAATGCCTATCTTTGTTGTTGCGTGTTCAATTTTAGAGAACTCGTGAGGCCAAAACGAATCACGACTTTGGGTCCTCACAATACATATATACATATTAACAATTACATAAATTAAACAATTACTGCTGCAATACCATAAGATTCAAATCTCAAACTCAAATTCTCTTCTTATTTATTCTATTCTATTCTATTTATTATCATTACTATTATTATTATTATCATTATTATATAAAATTTAATAAAATAAACAAAAGAAAGAAAGAAACTTTAAAAAAAAAACGAAAATCAAGGAATAACAAGAATGATAACAATAATGCTATTGTATTAAATATTGGATGAAATTCAAAAGAAATAAAAAGAGCTTTTTTTTTTCTTAAGCGGAAGGTAGCTTAGGATCTTCGGGCTCAACTTCGGGATCTTCCATAGACATCTCGGGCCGAAGGAGGTCATAGGTAGGACAGGATTAAGAATGGCCCAAAGCTTAAAATACGCCCGTTCGGAAAGGTAAATTTCGTGCGTCCTCCTCTTCGTATAGCAGTACAGTATGCGCATTCCTTTTGGATGTAATCGTCTGTAAAGCGCCCGTGAGAAAAAACTTAGAGCCCCGCCACATCTCCCGAATTAGCTAGCTCAGCTATGGCACGTACGACAGTCTCCATAGCCTCCAAATTCTTTGTAAGTGCCACTGAAGAGTATAATAAGAAAGTCCGCAGACAATAATTACATATCCAGCATACTACCATGCCGTCTGTAATGCTTGTAGTTTATTATTTTTATTGCTTTCGTATTATAAGGCGTATTCGTATTAAATAAAACTCTCACAATTATTATTAATCCATTTCATTCACTATCTCACTTAGTTTTGGGAATGAGTACACATATATTTGTGCTTTGTTCCAATAGTTTTTTTTTATTTTTTTAAGACATATATAAATGAGTGCAGTATTTGGCATAATAATAATAATTCGATATGTTTGTATGGTTTTTGTAATCACAAAGCGCGCACACACAACATATACATTACCAATTCACCTCAACCGAAACTTCGTAAGCGTGTGAAGATACATTCGAATTTAGCTAGCAAAGATACTTAGAATAGCAAAGATACTTAAAAAAAGTCCGTAAACGCCAAGTCCACAAAAATATTTTACGTTCTTTAGTATGGACAGAGTAGGCTTTCAAATCCAACTATATCTTAATTTTAATTATTTAACAGAACTCTGTTAAGGCGTTAAGAGAGTCTTGTTACGAGATATGGTAGATGTCTTTGCCAGCGAAATTCAAATTTATCTGCACACCCTTAAATTTTGTTTTTATTCTTTATTTATTTATTTATATTTTCCTTCTACTTATACAACAAACTCATTAAAACAAATTGACAGTCCAGTTCAATTGACTCTTAAATTAATTAATATTGAAACTTAGTATAAGTATAATAAAACAAATAAGAAGGAAAAAAAAAAGCACACAACAGAGGCATACTCGAGTATAGGTCTAACCAAACACATGTACAGCCTTTTCTTAATGTAAAGATCATCAAGCTCTTTGCACCACCTCTTTACAAAACCAACCGCGAACCTGGCTTTGCTTAACGAGAGCTCAATATGCAAGTTAAAACGTAATCTATAGTCAAATAGAACACTTAAATCTGTGATCGAATCGACGTCCTCCAACTTATGCGAATCTATGAAATACTGAGTAATGAACGACTTTCTTCTTGAGAAAGAAAGCTTCTTACATTTGCTCAGATTTAGTTTCAGAAGATTCAAGGAGCACTACGCAACAAAGTTATTTAAGTCATTTTAAAGCTGATGTGATTGCGATTCTACAGAGAAGGAAGAAAACAGTTTCACATCATCAGCATATTGTGAGGACCCAAAGTCGTCCCTCGTTGTGGGTTAACGGATTGTCCGCCTCTGGTGAGGGAAAGGGAGTGCTAGCTTAAGGTAGGATAGGAATAGAATAAGAATTGATTAAAATAGGATAGGAATATAATAAGAATAGATTAGGATAGGATAGGAATACCATAAGTATGGAATAGGGTAGAATAGGCTGGTTTTAGTTTTAGATGAGGAGTCGAGAGTAGTCTTCAAAGTGGAGAAGGCGTGTTTTAGACTCGAGAGTAGGAGTCGTGTTTTGAAGTTGAACCTAGACTCTCGATCAGAGAGGAAGTGAATCGTAGTTAGACTTAATCAGAATTAGTGATTATAAAATAATTATAAAACAAATAAAAGCGTCTCTGCGAATATAAATTTCTTTCGTTTTATCCTTCCCTGGGCCGCTGAACTGCTGCAGGGACGAAACGTCTTCGCAATACATTAAGATCTGACTGGAAGTACATTAGATCTGACTGGGAGTTGATTAATGTATAAAGTAAATAAAATGGGACCTAAGTGACTTCCTTGAGGTACGCCAGGCGTCACGCGGATGAAGTTAAATAAAACCCTGAAGGATCTATTGTGCAGATAAGAGCTTATCCATTTCACTAACCAGAAACTTAAATCAGTGCATATTACATCTGTGCGAGAACCACTAGAAAAAGCCTTGAAAACGTGACAAGTGAACTCAAACAAATTGGTGACCGTATATCGCCCTTTCCGAAAGCCATGCTGATGTGGACAAATATACGAATTAATGGCAAAGGCCAAATACTGAGTCACAATTCGCTCGAACAACTTGGGCTATGCCTCTGTAGTTCTCAACATATTGTCTACATCCATTTTTTTAAATAGGAATAAGGAAACTACTCTTCCAACACAAAGAGAAAATCCCTAAATTCAAAAACTGGTTAAAAATCTTTGATATAACACCATATAACTCGACAGCGCAAGATTTAAGTACACAAGATGGAATTCCATCAGGTCCAGGCGCACAACAATATTTTAGAGAGCTCAAGCGTTTAGAAGTTAGTTGATGAATCGGAATTAGCAGTCGAAAAGGTTCGTCGGAAGTACTCAGCAAGCAGATTTGTAATTTCAAAACATCCGAGGACTCAAAGCCATTAAAAGAAACATGCGAGGGATGTGTGGAAATTTTTCTTTTTCAGTTAAAAAATTTAAAGAATATTTAGGATTATCAAACAGAGAGAATTTAATGAACTGAAGATATCTGCAATAATATTGGTGGTTGAGGGAGCTAAATCTATGCCTTGCCACCGAGTAATATTAAATATTTTTGAATATTTTTGAATATTTTTTTGAATATTTTTTGAATAGCGTGTTTTTTCTGCTCTTGTAAAATTTAATTGTCTTAATAAACCACGGAGGACACCTGCTTCGAGATCGGCACAGATGCAGCTACATTTAATATATTGTAGAACGATGACAATAAGCTTTCAATATGTGAAAGATGATATTTATGTAAAAGATGATATCTTAGCAATACAGTATTTGTTTTTTGAAAATCGTAATATTTAGTTCAAAAAGTGAGATTTGGAACAGTAAAACAGTTCAACGAACCATCATATTTGTGATGAAAGGAAACCTCAGGTAAACTAAAAGGCGGACAACGATTTATACTAATCTCAGGGAAACTGGCAAAACAGAGATCAAGCAGTCTACCATTACAATTAGGGATACGGTTCTATTGAACTAAATTATGATCAAATAATTCGTTTAAGAACACAACAGCTCTATCAGAAGTTGAAGTAGGAATCAAACAGCCAGAATTATCACTGTTACACCAAGTGACTTGGGGCAAATTGAAGTCACCCAACCCAACGACGAAGTCGGTGGGTGTCGACTGCTCGGCCACTTCACGAACGAGGGCGGCCTGTTTC